TGATTCATGCTAAAACACATAAATTCATGAGAACTCCTACTTATAAAACACAAATCACAAACTTTTGCTAAAATTCTTACCTTAGAAAGCCACAAAATGAACATATATTCACTTAGGCATGATTCTCATGTAATTCTCTTAGAAGACTTTCAAGAAATGGAGGAGAAATGGGGGAAGAAGGTGGCGTGCTTTAGGGAAGGGAATGGCTAGGGTTTGTCAATTGAAGCCTTATAACTAAAATATATATATATATATATATATTTATTTATTTATTTATTTATATTTATATTCCCTTTTTGTCCTTGTACTTTTATAATAATGCCAATCATACCATACGTGCATTTACTGATATATCCTCACTTTCAATGGATTTAACACATGTTCTTGGTCATTTTCACTCTCCGCTCATCTAGTTGTGAGTGAAAAGACCATTTTATCCTTATTCTTTAATTTCTTTCTATTGCTTTACAAGCACGTATTTATCTCTGCATCACATCACTTGTATTTTCCATAATCTTTTTGCTACTCTATTCTCATGGCTAGCACACTTAATGCATTATATTTATTATACTCACTTTTCACTTCAACACGTGATTTTGAGTGAAATGACCATTTTGCCCCTATTGAAACTTTTATGGAATTTCTCTATAAAACTAGTTAAATATATTCACTATGACTATAAAATAATCTCTACCATATTTCTGAATGTGGGTATTATAGAACCATACCATTCAAAAGCATTGAACAATCTATTCAGAAGCATAATTTGTTGATAAACTGTAACGCCCCACTTGAGATACGTAGCCACTGTTTATGGTATGGCCTAAAGGTTTACTGAATTGCTCCTGAATGAGTTTGTATATTATTCATGTTGTTTGGTTGGCCCTTAGTTGAATTTTGTTAAAGTCATTTTGAGACAAATGTGAAGAAAATGCCTTAAACTTGCATTAAGGGCAAAATAGTCTTTTCAGTCAAAATTAGTTGAAAAAGTGGGGAGTAAAATGCAAGGAAATTTCATGGAGAATAGTATAGAATAGGGGTGACTTTGTAAAGAATTAAAGGATAAAGGTGGAATTTTTAAGAAAGAGTAAGGGCAAAATGGGAAAGAGTGTATATTATATGAGCTAATAAGAGTTTAGTTCTCTAAACCCCTTCATTTTCCCTTTTTCCACCACCTCTTCATCCCTCATTTTCTCTCAATTCCTCACTCAATCTTCCAAGAGATTTTTGAGAGTTTTGAGTTGGAATTTGGCAAAGAATGGATCCTAAGCAAGAAAAGGTAAGAACCCCTACTCTAGATATGAGTTTTATTTATGTAAAGGCTAAGTCCTTACTAAGTTTATGCTTAGGAAATAAGGGAAAGCTAAGGTCCAACAAGAGTAGAGAGCTTTGGTGAAGACTACTCAAGTATGAGGTAAGCAAATCTAACCAAGTTGAGATTCAAGAAAAGTAAATGAGTAGAGATTTATTTTGATTATGTATACATATGTTATACATACTGAAAAATTGAGATGAGATGTGTGGTTAGTCATAGTTGTTGGATATGCTTAAATTATGAGAAGTGTTTTTGATGTGTGATGAGAGAGTGAAATTGAGTTGAAGTTGGAGGAGTTTTGTATGAATATTTTTGGTAGTGTTTTCCTTGGTAGGAATTATGACTATATGAGGGAGTTTTCCTCCCATTTCGGATGGTTAAAGAGAAGAGTAGAGTTATAGATAAGTAGAGCTTTGGTATGCACATGAGTTGTTTGATGATATGCCTAAGTGAAAACTGCCCTATCACAGCCGTGACTTTCTGAGTGATTTTTGGGCATCTTACGGATTGAACTGGGCTGAGACCAAAACATCAAAGTTATAGCCCTATCTCTAAACTTTAAAACGAGACCAAAACTGTAGCAATCAGAGGCGTATAACTCAAGTTATGTCTTCTTGAGTGTAACCTGCACAGAATGACTGTTTTGATGCAATATTGCATTTGGATTTCATAAGTGCATTAATGAGCATGAACCATCCACATGCATTAATTTTGCATTGAAAAGTGGCTTGAGAAAGAGTAGAGAATGTTAAGTATGAGCTACATTATGAGTAATAGCTTGAGATAGAGTGGAGAACTTTGTGAATAAAATACTTTAAGAGTATAGCTTGAGAAAGAGTAGGGAACTTTGAGAATGAACTACTCTAAGAGGAAAGAGAAAAACAAAAGAAGGGAATAGAGTAGTTTGTGCGATGGAAAACCCGTGAGTAATGAGTAAAGTCACGAGAGTGGGTGCTTTGTGATCCCCAGCCGTGCCTCCGGTAAGATGAGGTCGTGACATACACCAAAGAGTGTATAGAAAAGAGCATGAGAAAGAGAGACAGAAAGAGAATCAGTAGAAGTCACGTAGAGCAGGAGAAGTCCCGGCTGTGCCTCTGGTAAGATGGGGCCGTGACCGCCACGAAGAGTAGAATATGAGGTTCCAGCCGTGCCACTAGTAAGATGGGGCCGTGACATTTAAAGAAAGAGCTAGTAGAAACGAATTATGAGAAATGAGAAAGAGATAATAGAGAGAATTAAAGGATGAGAAAACTTGAGAAAGCTTGAGAAAGAATGAGATAGAATAAGAGAGAACCATGATTTTCCCTCATGGTGAGTATGATGAGAATAAGAGAGAACCATGATTTTCCTTCATGGTGAGTATGATGAGAATAAGAGAGAACCATGATTTTCCTTCATGGTGAGTATGATGAGCATAAGAGAGAACCATGATTTTTCTTCATGGTGAGTATGATGAGAATAAAAGAGAACCATGATTTCCCTTCATGGTGAGTAAGCATAAGAGAAGAAGAAAAGAGAATGAGAACAGAGAGAAAGAAAGAATAAAAAGAGCAGAACAGAGTTAAAGGAGAATAAAAGTATTAGTAAGAAAGAGAAAAACAGTGAGAATTAGAAATAGAAGAACTGTAGAGTAAGGAAAGAATCAAAGAGTGAGTTGTGGGGACAGGTAGTAGAGGATTTACTTACTGAGCATTGTTGTGCTCACCCCATTGTTCTTCCTTATTTTACAGGAATTAGGAGCAGCGATCGGATGGACGTCGAGAAGCGGAGAGTATTGGCACTACTGTCGACCAATTATGATATTTTGTATTAAGTAGAAAGTTTTTAATACAGAGTATTTTGTATATGTGAAGAATTATATTTTATGAGTAAAGAAAAGTTTGAGCCCACTATCTTCCATACGCTATGTATATCTATAAGTTGCATAGTATGCATTATCTGAATAGTAGTAGAGAGCAGGTGTTACATAAACTCATTTAAACACATATACAAAAACGAATATTATCATTAAACTTCAATAAAAGCATGTACAGTTTTATGGTTTATTAATTTACTACTATAAAAGCATTTCTCTATAGAAAATAGAATACACAATACGCCTCCTAAGTGTGGGTCCATCATGTCTCTCAATACAGGAAAGCAGGATGTTGTAGGTACTTTATAATAATAAACTTCAACGTAAATGTGCTATAATCATTAAACTATGTATCTTGTTATAGTATGACATCGTGTAATAACCTCTTCACCTCAAATTTTTCCATTTTTGAACCACAATTCAGGTATTTTTCAAAGTAACCGATCTTCTTCAACAAGTGAGGGTCGATAATTAGCAATGGTTGGTAACATATGGTCTGTAGTGCTCCACATATTCCGATGTTATGAAAATATTCTTAATAATTGTCATTTTACCCCCTACAAAGTAGCAAATTATGTTTTTAATCACATGAAAATAATATATAATAACATATGTGTTGCAAATAAACCAAAAAAAAAAAAAAACAACTTAGTTTCACACAAGCAATAATGTTATGTAAAAGTACCCAAAACCACTCGAAAGCACCCAATACTCCAATCAAGTCATTACTTACATGCCCTAAACCACCAAATCACCCCTATTTGTTAATATATAAAGCGCCCAAATATGTTCTAAACCACTCAATACTCCCATTAGGTTATTTTCGCAAATGCACTATGGTGCCAAATAGGATCATATCGGAAGGTATCGGGCTAAATTTAGAATACTAAGTGTCTGATGCCTTCTGATATCACCATATGGGAGCTTTTGTCACCATTTCAAATATTGGCCTCATTAGCCTGATTATGTCTGATAAAGGCTATCAAGTAAATTTGCAATCTGTTTTATAATTTTTTGCGACTTCCTATCTTTTCCATTTATTAGTTTCTTCCAACAAAACAACAAAATCACCTCTTCACAAACACCCAATCACAATAATCAAGTAATAAACCGTCAAACAAACGTTCAACAATAAAAAAATTGCCCAAATCTACGTCTAACATAATCTTAACCTAAACTCTAACTACAATCTATCATAAAGATTAGAAATTGGCCAAACATAATTTTTTTAATTACTTACTTTCCATTTAAGATTTCAAAACGCAGTGTTTTATCACTTAACTGCTGAAAAACTTTGTTATATAAAATTTGTATCATGAAACTCCTTAAAAATGATAATAATCTCTTATAAATCATCATGAAATAATAAAAAGAATCCCTTAGAATATCAGAAAACTCCTAAAAATATAAGTAATGCTAGGTCCACAACCCAATCTTATAACATCTCTTACAAACTGCGACGTGGTAGATCGTAATGGTTAGCTCTTAATTGGATAAGCGAAACTCATATATGAGCTAACCAATTGTGAGCTATACGTCGGGGGTGGGAGAAAATGTTGTGAAATTGGGTTATGGACCTAACATTATTGCTAAAAAAATATACAAAAAACCTCTTACATAGTGAGATTTTTATGCTCTTTTTTTGGGTGGGGGGGGGGGGGGGGGGGGGGGGGGGGGGGGGGGGTATGGGGTTGAGTAAAAATTGATCCAGTTAAGGGGATATTTATGCATTTAGATAGCTATTCCGGAACAAATGAAATTAACCCCCGAATTAATATAAAACGTTTTTCCATTTTAGTTTCATGGGTTTAATGGATCAAGCCCACATGCTCACGGGCCTCTCGATTCGATCCAATCAACAGCACCACACTTCACAAGACCGCTGTCGGGTTACCCGGCTCCTTTAACACCCGTACATCCAACGGTCCCAAACTCCCAATCATGCTTTAAGCCTCAACCCTAAACGTTTTTCCTCTTGAAGCCTCTCCTCTCTCGCACAAAAGCCCCTTTACCAAATACACACACTACTTCACTAATTGCTCTCTCCAAGGTCTGATGTCTTCAACACCAAACCATCAAAATTTTTTATATCTTGAACAAATGCCAGGTGGTCCAGGGTCTAGTGCTCGGAGCAGCGTGAGAGTTGTGGTGGTTGGCGACCCAGGCACGGGAAAATCTAGCCTTATATCTGCTGTTGCCTTCGGAACGGTCCCGAAGAAGGTCCCTCCAGTTCATCCTCCCACGCGCCTCCCTCCCGGTTTCTACCGCGATCGCGTCCCTGTAACCATCATCGATATAAATTGATCCAGTTAAGGGGATAATTTTTATGCTATTTAGATTTAGCTATCTCCGGAACAAATGAAATTAACCCCCGAATTAATATAAAACGTTTTTCCATTTTAGTTTCATGGGTTTAATGGATCAAGCCAACATGCTCACGGGCCTCTCGATTCGATCCAATCAACAGCACCACACTTCACAAGACCGCTGTCGGGTTACCCGGCTCCTTTAACACCCGTACATCCAACGGTCCCAAACTCCCAATCATGCTTTAAGCCTCAACCCTAAACGTTTTTCCTCTTGAAGCCTCTCCTCTCTCGCACAAAAGCCCCTTTACCAAATACACACACTACTTCACTAATTGCTCTCTCCAAGGTCTGATGTCTTCAACACCAAACCATCAAAATTTTTTATATCTTGAACAAATGCCAGGTGGTCCAGGGTCTAGTGCTCGGAGCAGCGTGAGAGTTGTGGTGGTTGGCGACCCAGGCACGGGAAAATCTAGCCTTATATCTGCTGTTGCCTTCGGAACGGTCCCGAAGAAGGTCCCTCCAGTTCATCCTCCCACGCGCCTCCCTCCCGGTTTCTACCGCGATCGCGTCCCTGTAACCGTCATCGACACCTCTTCCAGGTGCGCTGTCCGTACACACCTACTCTTGTATACATATTATACATCCGTATGTGCATAACTCCTATTTCATATTTGATTTGATTTGTTTTTAGTTGGATTTTTTATTTTTTTATTTTAAGCTCTTAGGCTTTTAGCTTTAAAGTAGTTAGGTTTAAAGTAGTGTGCGAGTATCTTGATTTTTGTGCATTATAAATGTTCAATTTTAGGTTGGAGAATAAAGGTAAAAATAATGAAAAATTGAACAATGCTGATGCTGAAGAATTGAAGAAGGCTGATGCCGTGATTTTAACATATGCATGTGATCAGCCCATGTCTCTTTCTAGTTTGACTTCTTTTTGGCTTCCCCAGCTTCGAAGTTTAGAGGTTTTTATGTTTTACGCTTTTGTTTCGTTACTGCTTATTTCTAAATTTCACTAAAATGACAGCCTGCTTTTTTGTGTATAATATTATACTGCACGGATAGGTTAAGGTGCCTATTATTGTTGCTGAGTGCAAGTCAGATTTGCGAGGTGATCCTTTTTCCGTGAACTTGAAGGAGATGATGGAACCGATCACTGGACAGTTTAGGGAGATTGACATTTGTCTTCAATGCTCTGCGATTAAAATGATTCAGGTTTAATTGTTAGTTTTGTCAGTTTCTTAATCTTGCCACTTTTTGTATTGAGATCTTATTGACACGTTAAGATTAATCAAATTTACCTTGATGGTAGGTCCATTACATTTTCTATTCCGCTCAGAAGGCAGTACTTCATCCAGTAGATCCATTGCTTGATCGTGATTCACTACATCTGAAACCACGATTTGTCAGGGCATTTAAAAGGATATTTTTTCTTTGTGACCGAGACAAGGATGACGCCCTCAGTGATGCAGAGTTTAATGATTTTTGGGTTTGTTTGTATTTCTGTTTTTTTCCTTTTTGATACTTTCTTACCATGGCTGATTTATACTCTTCTTTGAGTGTCTAACATGTTTAATTGATGTTAAACAGGTTAAATGCTGTAAAGCTCCATTGAAACCTACTGAAATAGCGGCAGTGAAAAGAGTTGTACAAGAGAAGCAACAAGATGGAGTCAATGGTCATGGTGTTACCTTTAAAGGATTCATCACTCTCCAAGCACTTTTCATTGGAAATGGGCGCCTTGAGACTACTTGGGGTGTCCTCAGAAAATTTGGTTACGGCAATGATTTAGAACTAAGGGATGAGTGTCTTCCTGTCCCACTTAAGCTTGCTCCTGACCAGGTATCTCAACTAAGAGAATTTATGAACATCATTCCGTTTAAGTTTTCAAAATCCTACTTTTTTATTTACATGTGGCTGTTTGATCTACATTTATGTGGTTTTATAAAAATGTTCCTCTCTCTGCCCTTCTTTTTTTATTATCTGAATAAAAAAAGGAAATCTTTTATTAACTTTTCATAACATCTTTTGAGATATTTACCCTTTGATGCCACCCTGCAGAGTGTGGAGCTGGCAAGTGAGGTTGTGGAATTTCTATGTGGTATCTTTGGAATGTATGACAAGGATAATGTATGTTCTACCCTCTGCCAATATGAATTATGGCTTCATGCCATTGAGAGTGCTTTATATTTGGGCTGTCTTTTATGATGTTGACTAATACATTGCACTGAATCTCTGAATGCTTTATTCTTATTGCTTTTGTAGGATGGAGCTTTGAGCCCCGCTGAGCTTGAAGATCTATTTTCAACCGCACCAGAAAGGTGAAATCTGTTTTTCAGACTTGTTCCTCTATCCAGCCAATAATTTAATTTCTAGGTTTTGCTATCTTTTAGCAAATTTTCTTTTAAAAGTTTTCTGCGATAGGATTCGCTATCAATCCTATCCTGATGCCATTGTAATTACCAAGTATAATTTCTTATGTACTGTCCCTTTTTTAATCCAGTCCGTGGGATGAAGCTCGTTACAGGGATGCTGGAGAGAAAACATCGCTGGGCAATTTAACTCTTAAGGGTTTCCTATCTGAGGTTTGTATGACTGTCACTTTGATTTTTGCCCTTCCATGGGTTAATATAGCTAATGGTGACATATTATATCATGCAGCAATATTTTATGGGCTTATTCTTTCACTGTGTCTTGTCTCAATTTTTAGTTTATATTGTTAAATGATTAATCAGTTATGTTCTGTGATACATGCAAATTGCATTCTCATCTGTGATTAACACAATTTTAATATGCTTATAGGAAAAAGACTAGCAATAGTATTTAAACTCTAATATGTGTCCTATTTACACACGGCCAAATTTTAATTGACAAACTTGTTTTATGGAACTAAAATGAACACACACCTGGATCCAAATACAGGTCCATTTACTACAGGTTATAACTTAAATAGTACAATCAGAGAATGTGAACAACAAAACATACTAGTCGACTTGGCTCTACTACCATGTTGAGGAACCATTAATTCTGTTAGTTTGAACTTTTAGAATGAATCATGTCCGAACATTGTATCAAAGCCAGGTTGACCATGAGGTTTTTTGTAATCCCCTCGATTTTATTCATTAACTATGGTAAGCTGTGCTTAAACACATGAGCAGTCCATGTATGTTTTTGTGTTTATTTGGATTCCCATGACAAGTTTATAAATTATATTTGGCCATACATCGGATGGGGTTTGCCAAGAGTTTACATACTTTTCTAGGCTGTTTCCTGTAAAGTTTTTGGGATTAATGGTTGCTTAATAAAATCTTTTGACTTTTCAATATGTTATTTATTACTGTTACGTTATAGTTACAGGTTGCCTGGTTTTTATACAGTTTGTTTCATTGACATGTCCAACTTTTTATTGTTGCTTTTGACTCGTTTGCTTCTCCTATGATAAAGGCTTTACATCTTTGTCAAGAAAGACTTCACTGGGCACTATATAGTTGTACGAGTTGTATTGCTTCTATACAGTTTTTTAATGTCTTAATGTGCTTTCTTCTGTCTGTATCTGTCTGTCCTACCCTAGTTTTTTTCCAGGAACTTTGTCTCGTTTAGTTGTATTGTTTACCCCTTCTCGTGTACATTTTTTTGGATAGTATAAAGCAGAAGAATCGTTCTCCTTATATATTGACTTCCACAAATTACGATTTAACTTTTTGCATTATGCATTTTAATCAATTTGCAGTATTTGTTAATTGTCTGGTAAAAATGCTTGGTTGCAGTGGGCCCTAATGACACTACTTGAGCCACGTCGCACTTTGGCTTATTTGATATACATTGGATATCGTGGTGATGCTGCCAAAGTGTTTCATGTTACTAGGAGAAAATCAGCAGATCATAAGGAGCAACTAACTGAAAGAAATGTCTTTCGCTGCTTTGTTTTTGGCTCTAAAATTGCTGGAAAGTCTGCATTGTTGGATTCATTTTTGGGAAGGTGTTGACCTGTTACCAATTTCAATGTAGCATAGTCAGTTATTGATCTTGCTAATTTCGTACATTACTCTTCATCTAGTTTTTATTTATTGACTGTAGAGTCTACTCATTTTGACTTTCCATTTTACTCTTCTTTTTGTCTAAGGACTTATATTTTAGTGTCCTCGAATTCGATTACAGGCCTTTCTCAGAATATTATTATCCAACAACTTCTGACCGATATGCAGCAAATGTGGTCGACCAGTTTGGGGTAAGTACTAACACTAGAAACACAATGTTATCTGGTAGTTTTATAATTCTACTCCCTCCCCTCCATCTTGATGTCCACTCCTCCCTTTCTCGTGTATTCTCTAAAATTCCGGCCTGGAAGTGAACTGAATTTTTTTTCCTATTTATCTTTATCATCAATATTCTGATATTTGGGAGATCACTACATCGTTCATCTGTCATGAGATGTTGCAGACTTGATGGGATTTATCTATGTTATCATCATTCTGATATCTGGATATTATACATGTTCATCTGTAATAAAGACGTTGCAGATTTATTGGCATTTTTCTATGTTTTCAGCATTCTGATATCTCATACATTGTGTTATGCATGTTCCCATTGTCTTGGGATGTTACAAATTTGATGATGATGGTGCAGGGAACTAAGAAGACACTTATTTTGCAAGAAATACCTGAAGATGGAGTGAAAGAAGTTCTCTCTTATGAGGAATATATGGCAACCTGTGATGTTGCTTTATTCGTCTATGATAGGTACTTGAATACTCTTATGCATATATTTGCAACGTGAACTCTTCTTGTTGGATTAGTGCTTGTGATTGTTTGTCTATGTATTTCTTTACTACTGTCATTTTATTGGATTTACTGCCTCTCCTCTCCCTTCTGTCATGCATTTGCCTGTGCACCATGGTCAGAATTAAAGTTGGGGTGATGCTTTTAATTTATCTTCGTTGGCTTTTTGTGATATAACAAGAGTATGTATGCACAGTAATATAATTTCATTCCCTCTATGTTGTTTGTGAGTCGTTCAGTCATGATATTTTAATTTATTTGAATATGTAGATATCATGAACTGCATTGTTTCTAATTTCCAGTTCAGTTGAACATTCATGGAAAAGGACAAAGGAACTGCTGGTGGAGGTTGCCAGGCAAGGGGAAGTCAGCGGTCGTGGGGTGCCATGCCTTCTTATTGCAGCCAAGGATGACTTGGATCCATGTCAAATCACCGTACAAGATTCAGCAATGGTACAGAACAGTCTTTGGCTACTTAGACTACGTACAAGTATAAACATCTTTGGATGATTGTTCCTACAAAAATTCCTAGTCATTGATTATGGAGAACAAATAATTTCCTTTCCTTTTCCAATTTTTAGGTTAGTCAGGAGATGGGAATCAAGCCTCCTATTCGTGTAAGCATGATAGTAGGAGATTCCAAAATTTTTTTCAGAAGAATTGTGAGGGCAGCTGAACACCCTCATTTGAACATTCCTGAAACTGAGGTGGGGAAGGGTAGGAAGCGATACCGCCATCTTGTCAACAACTCACTTATGTTTGTTTCTGGTGTGTTTGTTGTCTACTAGTTCCACATCTCCCAGGATTACATCCATGAATTTGTATAGCACTGATTTTATTTTGTTAATGTACATTTTCTAACTGGGATTGTATGTTTGATTTTTGTTAGGGTCTGCCGTTACTATTGTTGGACTGGCAGCTTATCGAGCCTATGCTGCTAGGAGGAATTCTAACTGAGTGTCAGGAGCGAAAGCTATGTTTAGCAGGAAACTTTAAGAGGTATTGGGGATTTGGCCATTAATCAACTGCATTTTGCTGTCTCGTCGATCCCCATAAATGGTTGGTTCTTAAAGAGGTAGTGGGGATGTCATTGCCATCAATGGATGTTATCATAGAATGAATTGTCGAAAGCTCCATTTCTTCAAAGCTTTAAAGTTGCAAAACTGGATTTAATTGTAATAAGCTCGTTTAATCTATTAGCATATGCTTCAAGAATTGCGGGGAGTTGAATGAAAATAGCTTTCGGATATGGCATGAATCGTGAGAACCTCAGTTCACAGCTAGTTTGTCACATAAAGATTGGTTTGCTTAACCGCACAACTTGAATTTTCCTTCTACAGCAACCTGCTCAAGAATATTAATGGGTTGACTGTTAGAACCATTCGGTTTCCTGTGACAAGGTTACCTAAGGAAAAAAGATTATGGCAGTTGAAGTAAACATGAGCATATCACGAAAAAGTGTTGGAGTTCGATAACAGTGGCGATTCATTCATCGTATAATAACTATTATCATGAGTGTCACAAGACCCGAATCGATTTTTAACAAAGGAGATCACCAAAATATCCCACAAAGCAAACTACTGGGAAAAAAAATCAATAATGGGCGGGCAGCCCAGATCAATGGGAGAAGACTAAAGAGTAGTACCTTGAAAGAATCTTGGTGGCTAGCGCTGGAGTTAATTTTCTTTCGGGCATAGTAAGCAGGCCCTATCACAATTATGTAAAATCAAACTCAATAAATAGTAACGTGAAACAACATTCATAACATGACACTTATAAGATGAAAAAAATTATTAAAAGTTTCAATAAATAGTAAATCCTCCAGTCAAATTTGAGCAGATCCTTTCATACATACATCTGCTTCAATTTGCTTACTTAAAATAAGAAAACATAAGTCCTCAGTGCATCAGCTTCAAGCGAATATAGTGACATTCAACCCTTACTATTAAATATATTAATAGGTAGAACCCACACTGCATGATTCAGTGTGTAAATTCACGACAAAAAACATGCATATTTCAGAGTTATTTCCGAGTGTAAATTCATGACAAAAAATATGGGCTCATAGGACCGGTCCCAGAACTGGGCCCAAGACTGGTCCTTCAAAAATTAGGCCTCCACACCACTGACAGAATTTTATCTTACGAACATTGCCCTACAAGATATTATAAACAAAAACCATGAGAAATAATGGCATATAGACAAATTAATATATTATATTAAGATTCTTAGTCTTAGGTTGACATGATAGATTACATATAAATAAATTAAAAAAAAAAAAAAACTCAGCCATTAGTACTATAAAAATATACATATTCTATCATTGCTTGATTAAAGTGATTTGTTTGCTACCATCTTTTATATAATAATCAGCTGAGGCTACCTCTACCAGTGAGAATTCCAATATTAATGCTTAATGCAAGGTCAATATTTACCATCAAACAAGAAGCATGGATCTTTTCAAAATTTGTCCGCAACATCAACCTATTTCACAAACACTTCAAAAGTGACAAAAACTCACCATGCAATGAACAACAACCTAGGGTAGTTATATCCCACATGCCTAAAATCCAATTCATACACGTTATGAATATTATGCCACAATGGATCAGATAAACACTATCCATGCAGATGAGAAATTGTTAAATAAAAACAAGAAGAATTTTTCTTGCCAACTTCTTGGGATTTCATATCCCACAAGTTTCCCTGCCACTAAGTTGTAGGGCTGGAATTAGCCGTTCATTTATGACTTGGTGAACACGGGGATAAGAAAGGTCAAGGGATTTCGAAGTATAACAAAATTAAAAATTTCAATCTATCTTACTATTTGCTAGAAGAGAACAGAAACACTTAAAAAATATTCATGATACTGAGTTGTATTTAGGAAGTAAAACAATAAGACCTCTAATAATAGACCTAAACCCAAATCCAAATTACCTAGTAGTGCAAGTCAAGAATAGGCAAGCTGAAAGGTCAAAAGTTTAATTGAGCTTCCAGGGAGAGACCTCCAAATAGAGTGTCCAAACTCCATCAAAAGCTTCTATTTTCACCTAAAGTGACTCAAAATAACATCTCAAAGCAATGAGCAACTCTATTCTTCATAATCATTTGGCATAACTGAATCAAAAGCTTCTATTTTCACCCGTAGTGGCTCAAAATAACACATCTCAAAGCAATAAGCAACTCTATTCTTTATAATCAGCATGTGTTATGCCTAAAATAAGGGCTGACCTATGCTGATATCATCAAGCACCAATCAAAATCCAAGAAAACATTACACTGCCCAGAACATGACATGTCTCCACAGGCAAAAGGAATATAGCTATCACAGACCAAATTGACTCAAGATTTTGTGCTTGAGTGAATTTGGTTCACACACCTATCCAAGCCCCATTTAATTTAAAGATATTATTTGAGTTCCCAATGAATGGGAATGCAGGAGGGATCTTCATGACATCAAGTCACTTGCAAAAGTGTAATAATTACCTTGAGCTAAACAGGTATAAATAGGCAGCTCCCCCTCATAAAATCGGGATTAGACATTCATCCATTCAACAAAGAAAATAGCAAAAACACATTACTAGAATGAGACTGGCTTGACATTCTCTAAGAACACTTAGAACATCAAACACTTGTAATCCTAGATCACAGCTTGTGACCTCTTGTAAGTTTGTCTAGCGATTAGAAAGTAATTTATATAAATGAACACAGTGGATGTAAGATTCACTTTAAGCATCTGAACCACTATAAAAATTATCTTGTCAACTTTACATTTACGTCTTTGCATGCTACTATGCTCATAGTACCTCACCCATTCATTGTAATCAACTCACGTGTGATTTCTTAGCACTTTACACGTGCAAAGTCATTAATGTCAAAATCAAGCATCAATAGTTTGGCATAAGAGGAAGGGCAGATTTCACATTAGCTCTCTATCTAGTAAACTCAACTGACCCATCGGTTTCTTTTTTCGAAGATCAACCACAATTTCTCATGGCTCGTGGCTTTGAAACTAAGCGTCCTAGCACTAGCAACAACGAGGAAATTCCCCACAATTAGGAAACAACTCCTCCCGAACGAGTTCTAACTCCCCAAACCATAGCGGGGAGCATGCCCTCGACCTCCTAGGCAAATCCTACCTTAATCTATTATTTGGGAAAGCTCAATAATACTCTCCAAATGATGAACCAGTGACTTGATCGTTTGGATAAAATAGTTCCACCCAATTCAGAAAGGGTGGTACCACTCCCAAAGATGCCTGCAAGTCACGCAAAAGCTTGGAAACGAGCACATCCTCATGTCACACGCATTACAGTGCAAAAGGGTAAACGCATAGCCGATCAAGGGTAGAAAGGCTCAAAAGGGCTTTCACATACTGCCCACGAGTAGAGAAATAAAAATCATGTTCTATGACAGACTATTCGCAAGTGTACAAAATCGTGCAAGTAATAAAGCTCGAGTAAACGAGTGTCGAATCCCAAGGGAACTACCTACCAAGTACCAAACTAGTATATTCTATTGCTATTTGATAAAACAGAATTTTAAGAATGACTTTAATGAAAAAGTAACAAACTAAAAACTAAATAAAGGCAGAATTTTAAACACTTTGAAGTAAAGATCAATATGACTAAACCTAGGGCATAGATTTCACACCAATTTAATCTTATGCATCGACAATTATTGTTAACCTAACTAAGCATATTCTAAAAGCCAGATTCCCTAAAATTCCACTAACTTTCTCTCGAACAATTAGCAAATTAACCCTTAAGCAACAACCCAAGATATCTCTAAAACAGATTTAGAAGCTAAGAGATCATTAAGTTCTATGGAATTCACCAGAGCCTCATAGATCTCGGTAACCTATCTCTAGCGTTCGCTCAATCTATGGTTTTATTACCTTAGACAAATTAGGTTTCATCTCTCGATCTCAACCCAACCCATGATATCATTCAACTCTCGGGCCCTTAAGAATTGAAAGCATTACACACAATAATAAAACTTAGAATTACTGCTCAATATAAAATCAACAACAATAACATCAACGCATATTCATAAATTGGGCTACATCTTTAGCCCTAGAAAAGAGAGTTAGTTCATAATGAAAATAATAAAATTCATCATTATGTTCAATGACATGAGTTCAAGAAAGAAAAATATAAACACTTCTCTAATCGGTGAACGAGAGCTTCCAGAATCCCAATCTCCAAACTAGTAGCCGTTTTTTTATCTCTCTCCAAAAACTCCAAAAACTTCTCAAAAATCCTTCTTTTATAGTCCTAGGGTTCTGATATTAATTAGGAAAAGAGTAAATGTCTTATCCCATTTAGATTCAGATTAGGATAACGCATTAACAATATAAGCCTGTGATCCATCACCGAGGCAGTGAGAACCATCACCACAGCGATCGTTCTTCCTGTCCATGGCATCCATGATATTTATAATTTGGTAATTCATCAACATAGCTCTCTGAATAAGCTTTCCAACGCCACAAGAATCGTCGAATTCCGATTTCCACAGCTCAAGTTATGATCCAAACAGTGAAGCACGCTCATCTTAAAGAATTTTCAGATTTTACGTTGTATTTCGACGCGTCACAACTTTGTCGTTTCAACTCCGATTCTTGCACCGTTTGTTCCTACTCATCATGAATTCCATCAACATCATTCTTTTCCCTTCAAAAATCTGTTTGAGCCTGAAAACACTCGAAATGAACCCGTGATCCCATAAATGGTATTTATGAAAGAATTAATTCAAATTCCACATTTTAAGCACAATTTTCCATAAATAAACCAATTAAATCACTAACAAAATATAAACATTCAAGCTCTTATCACACGGCTTGACAATACTTCACACCAAGAGTAGTCCCATGGCACATCGCACGGGCACGCCTATGAAAGTGCTAGACATGGAGATTCCCACCATCATCAGCACGATGGTTCCAACCATCACCGAGAGGGAAACACTCACCATCAGCATGTTGGTTCTGACCATCGCGTAGATAGGGAAAACTCCCCTAGCCACTTAATGCCTTCACAAAGCTCTGGCCCACAAGTGTCAAGGCATGATGAAGGTCCAGCCAAAGCATAGAAAGCACCGACCTACGGTTTTTCATCAACTGCAATCATAGGGCGTGTACCCACATTGCAAAAAGTGATCCCCTAAGGGATCCACTTCCTTAGATTGAGGATTTACAGCAAGCCTTGGATCAACTTTGAGCTCAACAAAATGAGGAAGGAGTGATCGCTAAGGTGTTTCCCTTTTCTCTAGAGGTTCTAATAGCACCTCTCCCGCTAAGATTCAGAATGCTAGACTTAAAGGCATTCAAGATCATCTCTATGAGTTTAACAACCTCATAGAGTTTCACCAAGTCTCAAATTTGACGAAATGTAGCTGCTTGGCAGTGACCCTGACTACCCATGCAGAACGTTGGTTCAGATCACTTCCACCAGGGTCTATCAACACATGGCAGCAGATGAGCTCATTGTTCGTGAGATACTTCTAAGCAAATAGGAAGTTTTCAATCCCGCTCAACTATTTGAGCAACATATGGCAAGAAAAGAATGAGTCTTTCAAGTCTTACATCGACAGGTTCCACAGGGAGCTGAATAAGGTGGCTAATACACCTAAACATTCAGTTAGAACTCTGATTATAGCAGGAGTTTG